TTGGGTTGATTCTTGAGTATTTAATAAAAATATTAAAATTGGAATTTTTATTGATACATATTTTCTAAAATGATTTAAATAGTTTTGAATTGTTAATTTCTAGTTTTTGGGAATTTATAATTGTTTTTTTACAAAGTGAATAAATTGAATAAATTGGAAATTGTAATTTTAGTGACTAATTTGTAAAGATATCACAAATAAAAATATATGAAGCTTATTTTACCAAGGTATGTGTTTACTATTTTTCCCTCTAAATTTAACCGTATCTTAATCTATTTTTTGCTAATTTTCTATCTAGATTCATTTTTTATCTTTGTTCATTTTCATTCCTAATTTTCATTAACCGTTCTTTTCATTTTTTTCATCCAAACACTATCGTATCTTTTCTCCCAAATTTTCTCTAGTGACTGAAACTTTTCTCCTTCATTTTCTATTCCTTTGTTATTGATTCTTGTTTCTTTTTTCTTGATTTTCTCTCTTCAATCAAGATTGTTTCTTTTCTTTAATTTCTCTTGTCGTTTTCTTCATTGATCACTTCGGTGTTGCCAGTGTTGATTTTCATATTCTTTTCCAGCAAGGTAATTCTCTTTTCCTTGGTTCCTTTTGTGCTTCAATGATTAACAATCTAATGTGATTGATGATTTTAAGTAGGTAATTCTTTTAAACGGAAGTTTCTGAATTAAAAAATGATTTTCAAAGGTTTTTAATGTGCTATTTTTCTTGATCACTTTTCAAGGTTTTATTGTGTTGATTAAGATGTTTTTGATGATATTATTATCATACTAAATCAGTTTTTTAATCTCATTTGATTTAGATATTGATTTCTTTAAAACAAGCTTCATTTCAGCATTTCTCGAGAATTCGGGAATTAGGATTTGTTAAGGTTAATTATGAGGGTTTATTTGAGTTTAGTTTTTTATATTACTTTTTCTTGATCACCTCTTTTTGAGGAGGAGTGGCGCTTGGATCGGAAGCTCGGGGAGTCATTTCCGTAATTTTGGTATTTTTGCTCTGTCTTGGAACAGAAATTTCTGCTCTATTTTGGATGTGTCATTGATGTGTTATTTTTCTTTCCAAGGTGTTTGATGTGTTTATTGTTGAGGGGAAATAGTGCATTCTATTTTGGTGAGCGTTTTCTAGGTGTTTGGAAGTTATTTCGGTTAGTGGACTCAAAGGTGAGTGGCTTTTGTTCTTTGTAGATGAACATGTTCAAGGTTAGAAGAAGGTGTAGTTTAGATATTCTCTTAGCTTAAACTCTATTATGGATGAATCTTTATTAATGCACATGATTGACAGGAAATGTGATATGGAATTTGGATATGTATAGTGAATTGTGTAAAAGTTGCAATTGATGCATAGTGCTTTTAAAAAGTGAATTTGAAAGTTTATATATAAGTGAAAGTGTGCATGGATGAGTGAGCGTCTCGGTGTCCATATATGTGTGGTTGATCATGACAATTAAAAATTCTGATGAGTGTTTCAAAATGTATTTTGTAAGCGAAAATGTGAAAAATATGCATCTTTGACAACCACTCTTGTATACTTGGATTAATTGACTATTTTTTCTTAATGAGACCTTTGGATATGAAAGGCGTGCTTAGGAAGGAGATGTGTTTTTTTATAAGTATGTGATATCAGGTTATACGAGGAAAGGTTGGTGCGTTGAGCAGTGCTCCAAGAAGATCACGGTGTAAGGTTGGTTCGTTAAGTTTACTATGAGAATCGTGGGTTTTGGACCTAAGTGAGTCTACAAATAAAAGGAAGTTGTATGGATTTTGTTTATCCAATGAGTAAGTTGTGTTTTGAACAAAAGGCCATTGATCTTTAATTGAAACAATGTGTATATTGCGTGTGACTTGCCAATAGGTAATTGTGCATGAGTGTATGTGTTTGTTATTGGATATATGATGATAAATGGCATGTGTATATTCTGGATTTTGAGTGCATTTAGGAAGCAATATGTGAATACAAAAACATGACGAGTTGGTATGAATGTTGAGGTAAAAACAAGTGAGGAGTGATTGCATAAAGGGTTTTGTTTTAGCTTTGGAATGTACATTGCTTAGAATGTTAGTTGTTCACTGAGTTTTTTAGCTCACACTCGATGTTTAACACTTTTTAGAGAATTGGTAGGTAAGTCAAAGGAGAGGAGTAAGCATCCGAAGTGGTCAAGCAAGGCATTACTAAATAAAGCATGTGTGGTTTAAATCCATGTGATGGTAATGTGGGAATCATTTTAGGACCTAGACATTTGTTAATATGTTTATATGTAATAAGTGTGGCATGTTATGTGGACCATTGGTTTTGTGTTGGAGATTATTAAATGGTTTGATTTGTTGATTTGGAAATGTTGAATGCATGTTGTTAGTTGAATTGATCGTAAGATTAGCCAAATGTTGAATTGTGCATTAAGAAAGTGTTTAGTGTGCTTAGACAAGTGACATTAGGTGTATTAAATATGTTAGACTCATAGGATGCATGAAATGACCCAAAATGCATAATTGAACTATGTGACTTGTGTTAAAAGTGAACCAATATGCAATATTTGACTTTTGATGCTAAATCTTTGTATGATGTTGTGACTTGTGTTATGAAGCATGATATAGGTGTATTCTGATATGTATAATGTGGTATGAAAGTGTTCAAGCGTGTATCTAGTCCCTAGGATTGGTTATGTGAAAGTTTGGTAACTCATTTATGCATGTTCTTGAGAATTCTACACTTTTCCAGAAAATGGATCGATCCCTTTTCAAAACGGATTGATCCATTAGCCATAAGGATCGATCTCAAACTCACTATTTTGTAAAGGATCGATCCCCGTGAAAGCGGATCGATCCCTTTTTTGTGTGCTCAATGAAAACTGGTAAAATTACATTCATTAAAGGCCCTAAGTGTCCCCAAGTCTTAGTTTGAACCCAGGATGTTTGTGTAAGTTCAAAATAGTTCAGAAATTGGATTGTTAATTAATATTAAACCTTAACTCAGATTTTGGTGAGACTTGAGTTGTCACTCTTAAATATACCTAATTACATAATGAAGGTTTTAATTGCCTGACTTTTGCTTGTATGCGATTTTTAAATTGTTTACGTTTAGTCCTATAGATGTATGCTCAATTAGGTCCCTGTTTGACGTTTGACTAATTTGGAAATTTGTATGTCACTGACTAAGGTTTAATGAGAATATTGGTGTACTTAATTTGATAATTTACTTTGTAATTATTTGGTTATGAAAATAACGTATTTGCCCTTGACGGATTGGTTACGATTATTATGCATTGTTCTGATTGTTTCGAGATTTTTAATTATTCGTTAATATTCGTTGCCATGTGTTGTGTGATATATGATTGAAATTTTGAATGCTTTCATATAATACACATGATTTAGGGTTTTCGTTCTATCTGACAATATCAAAATCTAATGTATGCTTAGGTATTCAGGTATTTCTTCATGACCGGTATGGGGTGTTACACTTTCATCATCATCATAACATGAAGGTATTGATCCACAGTTGACTATCTAATTAGAAAATTTTCATTGATAGAGTTATTAATCAAGTAGTAGCAAGTGTGCATGTGGGTCGATGGAAGCTTAGAGAAAACAAAGAGACAACTCGTCTGACGTATATATATTGGACTTGGAGGATTACACGTAATTCAACACCAAATTGAATGATGTCCAAGACATAGGAAAAGAGCCTTTGACCTGATCAATGGTGCAACTATAGGATCTTACCAACAATTGTTCCATCTTTAATCATCAAGGCCTAACGCTCAACTTTAGCATCATAGGGGCATGATCCGAGATAGAGGTCGTATTTTAAATGAAGTCATTACACAATACCAAGGGATCACAGAGCACTTAAGGGACATGGTTTTTAAGGCAGAAGTCACGAGGTAGGCACGAGATCACTTTTCGATGAAGGAAAACAAGACAAGATCGAGCATCCAAGCAAGGTCGCATATGTAAAGTGGATTACCTTGGAATAAGGTCGCATCTTCTGAATTGCAAGTAGTATAGTATAGTAGACATATGTCACTGAGCTTTGTAAACTCAACGTTTGAATTTTTCTAATCACAAGTTAGTAGCTTGAGCTTGTTCGAGAAGCATCATCCGGACATTATATCTAGCGTAGTCATACTGGAGTACATTAGTGTTTTCTTTAATGGACATGTGTATTCATAAGACTCTTATCTATGTATTATGGTATGCAAACTTTATTGACATTATATTATTTTAACTTGTATTTAAATTTCCCAGAGTTTCGATTTGTAAAACAATTTATAATTATTTTTGATATTTTATGCTATGGTATGAGTTTACTTTTGCAAAAGAAAAAATAATAATTTGGTGAATGCTTCGGGCCTCGAATGTCTAATGTAACATCTTAGTCCATTATATAGTGATTGGATTAGAGGTGTTATAATATAAGTATAACACTCGCCACAAAATCAAACTAAATAATTGTTTTTCTATTAAAAAAAAGATTAAATATTTTCTTCCACCTTCTGTTTTTATAATTATATGCATAATTATTGAATTAATTATTTTAATATATTTTTAGTAATTTTTAAAAATTATATTTATCAGAAACAAAAAGCTCAAAGAAAAATTGAAAATTATTTCAAGAAATATCTATTCAAACAAACATAAATAAGAAAATAAAGTACTGAGATATATTTTAATAGCAATAACATTGAAGAGATAAAAGATTGTTTTAATTGATAATAAAATAATATACCGGAAGATTATTTGGTACATTCTCAATACAAAAAAAAAAAAAAATTACAAAAAGTGGTAAAAACATGACCTATATTTTTGTAGTAAATTTAAGAAGTAAAAGTTAAAAGAATTCGAGATTTGTCACCGTTCTAATCCCGCTTGTTGAATAATAATCCGCAAACATTAGGAACCAAGAGTAGATATTATGGCTTCAAACCAAGTTGAACGCATTTTATATTGTGATGAAGCAAGCAAAAGCCTCACATATAGTGTAACAGCATCTTAATTCGAACAGATATCAACTGAGCTGAAATACATAAGTTGGGGTAACATTTCATCCCTACACCTTAATTTGGTTCGGAATTCTGAATACCGGTATTGTAAAATGCAACTATCTGTATCGACCTCCTAAACAAGTTTGTGGTCTGGAGGATTTTATCAACTACCACGTCGGCGACCAAGAACAGATGTATGAAACACAACACACATGCGAACTGTAAGACAATGGATTACAAGGAATCCTTCAGCCTGACCTTCTATAATAGGTATAAGCCACAGCAACGGTTGCTACAGCTCCAACCACAGCTGCTGCCCTAAGAACGTCTCGTTGCTCCCATGATTCCACCCAACTTGTCAGTTTGCACATCCCAGTCTTTCCGTGCACTTCTCTAGGTTCTTCACTTCTCTTTTCTTCACTTGGTTCAGAGCTAGCAGTCATGCAACAGGTAAACCCGTTAGCACCCTGACAACAACCACCCACATTTTCTGTTGTCTTCTGAGCAGTAGTTTCTTTGTGCTTCTCATTTTTCTTCACTTCGGTCCCGTTTGGAAGCTTCTGTTTGCCTCCTTCGGTAGAAGCCCCCATTTTACCCCTGTAGATGTTGAAAAAGAAAGGAATAATTGAAATTAATAGGGATTATGTGATGACATGGGGCTTCTAACCAGCACAGCACACTATAAAGTAAACAAGCAAACTGCCTTTAGGATCACAGTACCAAATCTTTTAAAGCAAGTGAACAAGTAAAGGCTTTGTTGTGAACAAGTTAAGACAATCAATGACAGTAGCAGTAACCTATGAACTCTTCCAGTGAATACTGAATAAATTCCGATATTCTGCATTTATTTATGCAGTGAAAAGATTCCAAAAATGATGAATGTACCGAAAATACAACCAGCTGGCGTACTACAAGTTTGACCAACTTAAGCACGGTATAGATGAAAAACACAAACCTCCAAAGGCGTTCTATTATTTCTCCCTTTGCAATTTGCTGATCCAGCAATTCAGGTACATCATGAGGAGTAACATAGCCGTACCTGCAACCGTTCGAGGAAAAAGACCCAATAACATCAAAATCCATTAAATGGCATAGAAGCATAACGACACAGTGATGCCGACATTACCAGTTACCCGTAATCTTTCCCTCAGAATCGAGGCTGAAGATAATCAAGTTCCCAGCATACTTGTGCCCTCCAATGTGAGAGCAAGCACTTACAAATACCTGACCCTTCAGTCCCTGCATCTCAATCTCCTCGTTCAGCTTTCGAATTAGAGCAGGTCCACAAACACCACATCTCTTGTCACGATTACCATGAGCACACACGAAGATATACGAACCAGTCAATGTTTCCTGCGCTCCAGAAGCCCATGGCTTTCCATTCACAAGAACATCCTCAATGAAGGCATCCACATTAGAGTCCGTCAAACCCCTTCCATCAATATAATAAAAGAATCTCAGCACAAAATCCCATCACTCATAATCTTAGCATTCTCTCATTCTTCTTCAAACAAAAGAATATAAAAAAAAAAAGCAATCTTAATCCAACAAATAAACATAAGAAAATGGTAAATAAACAAAATACATGCTCATCCTCACAATAGCTACAACTACAGAAGGATGATTACATTTAACTCCGCAATCAGCTTCGAGTTTTTGACACGTCCATCAAACCAGGTATTAATCATAATTCAACAAACTTTAATTTCTTGATTTAAGTTAGATAACTACATGGAAAATGTTTTAATATGTGTGTGTGTGTGTGTGTGTGAATATAAAGCAGATTTTTATTGAACGGTGAACATATAAAAAAAAATAGATTCATACACGGTAAGTTTACCAAATGTAAAGCTCAAATCCTTCTTTTCTTTTATTTTTTACAGCATCAGATCATGTAAAAGGAAATTTAACAAGATTTAGAAAAGAAATTGGTTCGAAAAAGGAAAGCTTACTTGTATTTGATCATCTCAGGAAAAATCAGAACATCGCCGTCAGATTCCGCTCCGTCAATAACCGTCAACAGTGTCTATATTGAAAGAATAAAATAGAGAAAACTATGATTAATCGAAAATTTGAAACCTCAAAGGCAAACGACAGGAACGCACCTTGACGGGGATGTCGTTTTTGCGAGACTTAAGACCGGAGGAGAGAAGATTAGGGAGGCCATCCTCTTCGGCAAGGGAAGCCCAATCGGTATAAGACTTGTGGCGGAGGAACAAGTGGCGGTCGTATGGCTTGACGGTACCAGCAAGGTTAGTGGAGTACATCTCATCGCGCGTGAAGCCGTACGTTGCCGCATCTTCGGCGGAAACAGTGGAGAGATAGCTAAAATCTGCCATTGAGAAGAAGAAGAAACGTTGTGGATATGTAGGTTAAGAGAGCGGGAGGGTAAACAATGCCGGTGAGGAGAGATTTCAAAGCAAATGGAAATGGAGCGTGTACATACGCGCGAGTGGAGATTGAAGCAGATTGGCAGATCCTTTTATTGTTATATTTCGAGTTAAATTAAATTATTAAATATAAAATAATTGTATAAATTATACCGTTTTTCTTGAATTAATGTTTAAACAATTTTTGAAGTTATTTAGTTGTCTAATGTTATAAATATTATTAAATTAAGTATTTTGATTTTAACAATCGTTAAAAAATCGTTAAGTGAAATGTATAATAATTTTAAAATTTTAAAATTTTATTTAAAAAACTTAAAAATATTTATGTTTGAAAAAAAACCATTTTTTCTAAAATATCAAAAAAGCCCTCAAATTCTTAAAATCACTTATTCTAATCTCATTTACTCCAACCGACCACTCATACGTCGCTGATCACCCACTGATCGGTCACAACCCTTACTATCATCTTCAAACCCAAAATTCTCAAATCTCTACATTTAAACCTTTAATCTCAAAATCCTAATTATTGAATCACTTAAAATCTTTTGATCAATCTTTATAATCGACTATTTAGTAACTTTGGAAGCTTATCCTTTGGTCGATCGTTTAATCGGTCATTTGGCCATGGCAAATCTATGGAAACAGGGGAGGAGGGGTGGCACGCATGTTGGAAAAATTGAAAAGGCTTTTTTAAAATAATATTTTTATTTTTTAATAAAACTTTCAAAATTCTAAGATTATGACATGTGTCGTTTAAAGGGGTTTTATAATAGGTATTACAGTCGAGGTGTCATACTCTAATTTTCAAGCTTAATTTTAAATGTTTAATTAGTATATTTTAGGGATCAAATTGTGAGATCTTGATGATTTTAGGACTACTTTTGAAATTCTAAAAGTTCAAAAGTCTAAACTTGGATTTGGCCCTCTTTTATTAGCTAAGAAAAAATAAAAAAGTGCTACTATGGAGATTTAAAACCATGGCATAGGGTATGGCCAACCATACTACTACCATCAAAGTTAGACTAGTGTTTAAGATTATTTTATTAAAAATATCTCTTAAACAGTTTTGAATCATATTCTTAAAACTCAAAATTGTTTTCCTCAAGAGAATCGGCACCAAAAAAATTCTCAAGCCTTTAAATATTGCCCTCTTCGTTTGAGCTCTGATCAGTCTTCTCTCGACGAACGTGCCTTACACCTTTCACACCATTGTGACCGTAGTTCACCCGCGATCAAAACCCGACCACCCGCACTGTAAGAAGCACCACTATTTACCTTGAAAGAAGATTCAAAGGTTCATCAGAAAATAAGGCCCTCTTTCTCAGTTTTTCACCGATTCGTCACCATACGATCATCTGTGAACGACATCGCCTATACCATCGAATTCCTCTTGATTTTCCAAGTCAATCGGTGTCCTCATAAGGGTCATCATCATCATCGTTGATGGTGGTGGAGTGAAAAAGTTTTGGTTAAGTCTGTTATTGTCCCTCTTCCGTTTATCATCGTAAAACAACACATGCTTCAGACTATCGAACTGTCAATCTGAAAATCTAGAAAATTTGGAGTTGTTTCGATGACCAAAGTCATCGTACGGCCCCATGTGCCGCCCCTTGCACGTAGGCATCCTTATCTACTATGAGGTTTTAGAAAATGGATTAAACTGGTTCGATTTGAATCGCCTAAGCCGTTAATTGAGCCAAACTGAGTTGCACTGACTGTTTAACCAAGCCGCGTTAACCGTTGACCGAATTGTTAATCGTTGAATAAGCGTTGACTTTTTCTGAGATCAACTATCCTAATGTTTTTCAACATCCTAAGTCCGGTTTTGGCCTTCGTTTTGCCAAATTCGAACCCAAAAAAGTTATTTTCATCATTTTATCTTCCAATTTGATATATTTTTCCTGATTAAATTCCGTTTTGATTTAATTTTTTTACTATGTATCTGAGACATTTTGGGACATCGAACTCAAGTTCGTGAAAGATCGAATGAAGTCTAAATGGTTAACCGTCGCAGCTCAAAAATTAAGATAATATTATACTACCTTTTGTATGTTTTACAAAACTCGTTGATAATTGGTAAACGCATGAATGGAAATTATTGGTCGTGTGTTTATCAATGATTATTCTGAAACTAGCACTAAATATGGTAAAACGTTAGTAAACTAAATAAAATTCGGATGACTCGCATAAGAGATCAAAAGATCGATAAGAAATAAATCTAAGTTCAGTGATTAATAAGTAAATTAATTAACCTCGGGATTCGCAAATTCTGATTATTTTCATTAAAGGGCAAATGTGATAAATACGTGGATAAAAAATTACGAAAGTACCCTAATATAGTTAAAAGGGATCTGAATTGACCCGAATAGTGGAATTGACTTGAGGATTCATCTTTGACTTGATAGAACTATGTTGGGATTTAGAAGAAGCTCGATTTGACAACTGAAGATATTTCCAAGAGGAGGTGAATTGGCTTTTTGAGAATTTTAGGGAGTAAGGAGTAAAACAAGGATAGAAGATTGTTGTACAATGATTTATAGTGGTTCGACTTTATCAACCAAAGTCTACATCCACTACCTAAGCTCTTCACTTAGTATTTTTCAACAAATCCACTAATTTGTTCTTTCTTTTTCAATGACAAAGAGATAACCTTTACAAAACTCCCTAGCTTTTCAAATGCTCAGCTAGAACCAAAACCCCTTTACAAAAGGAAAAAAATGTAAACAAAGAAAACCTCTAAAAGAAAAGTGTTTACAAAGATTAAGCACAAAAATATAACTATTTACAAGAGAAAGAGAATAAAGAGTGAAAGAGCTTTTCTCTTGTTTGTCAATGTTTGGATAGGTTTTCTAACCCTTCTTCAAGTGTCTTGAACTTGTATTTATATGTTGGAATGTGTTTGTGGTCGTTTCTAGCCGTTGGGGATGAAATTTCATACAAATAAACTTGCCCATAATAGAGGGTATTTGTACTCCTACAGGGAGTATCGGTACTACCTTTGTTATTTTTAAATAAAACTAGATGTTAATAGTCGTTGGGTCTGACGGTATCGATACTACTATGTAAAGTAGTATCGGTACCCCTTAGGGTATCGGTACCTATTTTGCATTCTGGAATTTGAGCAAGCTGGTAGTATCGATACTACCTAGAGAGTATCGATACTTCTCTTACCTTTGGTAACGATACTGTTCATATAGTATCGATAATGTAAGAAAATTATCGGTACTACTACGTGAAAAACTGTTTTTGTGCTCAAATTTTTCTTTAATGGACTTTGAATTATTTTTGAAAACTTTGAATAATTCAATCAAGTCCAAAAACATTTTGCCTTAATTTGTTATATCAAAATATTATAAAACATGATTCAACAATATCTCCCTTTTTGATGTAACCAAACATTTGAAAAATTGTTTTTGGAAAATCTCCCCTTAATAAAACATTTAATGAAAAAGAGATATATTTTGGAAAATGTTAAAATTCCTCATTTTTCATTCTTGAAATTGAATTTTTCAAACCTAACTTCTCCCCCCTTTTTGTTATATCAAAAAATAATTCAACTTTAAGGTTCAAAAATAACAGTGGAGAGTAAGTGGTAAATTTTATAATTAAAAACATTTAAAAAATAAAAATCTCCACCTTAATAAAAGTATTCCAAACAAAAATTTGACTTGTAAAAGCTTGACACTTAAAAAAAATTGAATTTCAACAAAGATGAACAAACATGTTAGTAGCATATGGAATTCAATATATCCAAGTCTAATATACTTTATGCAATACCAATTGTTGAAATTAAGTGCATGTGCATAAAGCTATCCAAAAATGTTATGCATATGAAAAATTGATATCAATTGTTAGGGAGATATCACTTACAATAAATTGCATGCATAAACATTTAAAATTAAGGTCAAAAATTAAAATTTGTAAAAGTAAAGTATTTGAAAAATTGATATCAATTTTTAGAGAGATATCATTTGCATTTAAAACCAATTTTGACCAAAATTCATTATGATGAACTAAAAATTATGAAAAATCATTAAAACTTTAAAATGTCCATCATAATACACTTTTCAACATACATGAGATGAAAGTAAAAAATTATTTAAAATCAAGACTCATGCATGCTTAAACTAAATGAACAACCAATTAATCAAAATAAAAGCACTAAGTTTAAAGGTTACCCATTCCTTTTCAAGTGTGGCTAGAGTATTCAAAATATCTTCGCTTTTATCACCATTGCTCCCACACACCTACAAGATTTTGGTATCCAAATTGCTTTGGATCCTTGGACGTTAGTTTCAATGTCCCTTGTTCCCTTAGGAACCCATACTTGTATAATTTTAAAAGATTTTCTTTTCTTTATGGGACAAGTATGTTCCATGTGACCATGAAAATGGCAATGTGAGCATTTTGCCATTTTTATCATAAATGAATTGTTTTTAGAAATGATTTATTTTTCTTTTGTTAAGCATTCAAGCTTAACTTTCAAATCTAGATTTTCTTTTTCCAAATCATTGATTTTGAGTTTTGATAGCTCAAAATCATATTTTAAAATTTTATTTTGTTTTTCAAAATCAAATTTTGCTTTCAAAAGTGAATCATTTTCAATTTTGAATTTTGAAATCAATTTCTTATATTTGGAATTCATGGTCTTAAATTCCAAATACAATTCATCGTAGGCAACTTGTAACTCATCAAATGAATAAGGATTTAATTCACTAGAGTTTGAAGTTACCATTGAATCTTCATTGATGGCCATAAGGCATAGGTTGGCTACTTCATTGTCATCATTGGAGTCATCTCCATCACTCCAAGCTGCCACAAATGCCTTCTTCGTACTTGATCATTTCTTCTTTAGTGGGGACAATCATACTTGACATGCCCCGTTCTTTGACATTCGAAGCACACCGGGGGATTCTTCTTTTTGCTTGATTCATACTTCACTTCTTTGGAAGTCATGAATCTCTTAAATCTTTTGAAGAGCTTGTCCATCTCTTCTTCTTCATTATCCA